TAGGTAAATGCTCTAGAGGTACTTTCATCCTGAACTCTAAAAACTCCAAGCTCAAACAATGAGAAATCATATTTGGTGGCTAAAATTAGTAAAGCAGATTTCAGACTGGTTTGCTCACTCTGAAATCACAAGTTATAATGGTCCCATGATGCTTCACTGTGGCCTGAGTAAATGATCCTTTTTGTTGGGGAGGAATAGAACAGTGATCTCAGGACCTCATTCTGGCCTGCGCTCTGAAGGCTGAGGGAAAATGCTGGTGTTTTTCCCTCCACAGTGTTCCAAGGTGCAGCTTGGCTGGTCATCTCTGCAGGCCAGAACGAGTTAGCAGTCTGAGTCACTTTACGAGAATGCATCTCATGTGCTCTATTCCAAGTTTCAAATAGCAGAGTGTCTGGTCAGGAGGAGGCCCCCGGCTGAGAGCACAGCAGAGCCCCAGGGAGAAAGCAGGAGCGAACGATTTGCTCAGATTGCAGCTCCGAATAAAGGACACAACATTTCAAGAGTTGGAAATCCCCACAGTCCCACGTTTAAAGGAACTGACTGGGAGTAAAAACATGTGGAAACAACAGATAAAATATGTTTAGCAGGCAACAGGTTCACACAGTCTTATTATATGTTTTATTCTTTTAAGTTGTCTGAAAAATGACTACTTCTATCAATAGTATATGTTACGGGTTGGACTGCATTCCGCGTTGCCCCCCACCAAATTTAAATATTATAGATATTGAAGTCCTAACTTGTAGCACCTCAGAATATGACCCTATTTGGAAATAGGGTCAATACAGATATAATAGTTAAGATGAGGTCATTAGGGTGGGTCCTAACCCAATTATGACTGGTGTCCATATAAAAAGGGGATATTTGGACACAGAGACATGCATAGGGAGGATATGCAGATAAAGGCCGAAGATGTATAAAATGATGCTTACAAGCCAAGAGGCATCAAAGATTTCCAACAACCAGAATCTAGGCAAGAGGCATGGAACAGATTTGCTTTCACAGTTCTCAGAGGGAACCAGTCTTGCCAACACCAGATCTTAAACTTCTAGCCCCCAGGACTGAGAGACAATAAATTTCTGTTGTCTAAGTCACCCAGTCTGTGGTGCTTTGTTGTGGCAGCTGGAGCATATCGAGTCTGTATGTATGCAGGAATAAAGCCCAACGTAATTGAGTAAAATAAAAAGCGGTGAGGTCAATACCTGGTTATTGTTCTTCTTGAGGAAAGATGCTAATGCTAAAAGCCCTTCAGGAGGTGCTTAAAGGAGGTATAATAATATTTGGTGTTTGCAAGGAAACCATTAATGTGGTACTGCCTTGAGCACCTTCAGTGGTACCTTATTAGAATGGAACAATTTTTCTCTTCCCCTTAAATCTTAATATACTTCTTTATTAGGGAGTGAACTAGGATGTATAATCACCCTTCATTATTCTGGCGAAAGAATAAAGGCAAAGTTTGTTCCAGTTAAGCACATACTCTAATACCCATAAATTCTCTTCTATGTCTTTTTTTTTGACTAGCACTTTATTGTTCTTAATTTTTATACTTTTTAGTCTTTGAAATGGATTTTGGTTTTTTGGCAATGTTTATTTCTTTTTACTGGTGCCATCACTAAAAGGAAGGACTGAAACAGAATCAGAGCCACCTGTGTTTCTCTTCTGATAAACTGGCGAGCAATGAAAAGGGCACAACGGTAACCAGCAAAGCGGGTTCCAACACGTGGTGTGTGCGCCCCACAGGATATGTGCTACACTCAGACTCAGACTGACCCAGGGGCCGTGTGAAGTGGTGCCTTTTCCATGGTCCTGGCTTCCAAGTCCTCTTCCTGAGAAAGGCTACCTCTCTGGACATGCTTCTGATAAGGCCGATTTTTATTCACTGCTCCTCTAAGTCACATTTATTCTGATCTCATATATTGAGCAAAGCACTGAAACTCAGTATTATAATTATTTGCTTTCTATGGTAGACCTTTCAATAACTTCTATAATATATTGATTAGATTACACTATCATTTGTGATATATGCTACAATAAAAAGGAGAGACAAGGTGTTTAGTAGCTTTCCCAATAACGTAGAGGGTCGGAGTTAGCCCATCTGCCAGGGGCAGTGGTTTCTATCTCCCAAACGAATGCTTTGATATGAACAACATGCTATATATGTTGCAAGGACGCACATTCTCCTAATTTTCTCAATATACACCAAAGAAAATTAATTGGGTCACCGGTCATATAAAGGCCATGACACCTACAAGTGTGGAACTGCAGCATTGCAAAGGACTGTTGACAATGAAAGGAATCTTCTTTCTTATTTCCCTGACATGCCACAGGACCTCCAGTTGACTGCTTCCAATGACAACAGCTAACTATCTTCAAAGCTGCCAGATCCATTTTTCAACAGCTGGATGAGCGGTACTGTCTACAAATACGTGGGCTATGTTTTATTAATTGTATGTCAGCCCATGTGGGCCATATTTTATTTATTGTGCCTTCAGCCATAGGTGTCTGGAAGGGACTAATTGGTAAGGAACAAAGTGGACTGCCTTGGATGCACAGCTAGATGGCTTTGCTTTTCTAGCTATTTATTTAAATTCAAAAGAAAATAAAAATCAAAGGGATGAATTTCAGACACCAATATATACTAAGTATTCATATTCACCAAGTACCTATTACGTGCCTAGGACTGGGCCAGGAAATTAAAGGGAGGTAGAAGTCAAAGATCATTACCATCGATTAACTTAAAATATTGTCTAACTATAATTAAACATCTTAAACAAGTTCAAAATTAAGGGACTATAGAGCATAGTATAAGTCCTAAGTTGATCATTTAGACTAAATTCAGAGGGTGGTTATAAAAAATGGAGAATTTATAAGAGCCGTATCATGAAGTAGCCAGATCTTGACCCTGCTTTGGAGGACAAGTGAGATTTACAGAGTCATAGGGACTAAGACTGCTTCTTTGAAAATACAGAGTTAAAGGGCAATTAGACAGCTGTTCCAAAACACACAAAATAAGCTTGTGTGGATTCTGTCATTTTGAAAAGTGAGGCCCCGCGGAACGGGAAAGGGATGCTGACGTGCGATGGAGCGTGAGTAGGGACCAGGCGAATGCCACTGTGTGACAGGGCACGCTACTGAGGGAATCAAGCTCTGCCCTTAACTTGGGATTTTTCCAACTGACAGATTGAATAAATAATGTGCATTTTCTCTTTCAAAGAAGATATAGAATGTTACTGAATTCCTTTGCCATTTCTCAGTCATTTGTCATTTTTAATATCCCCATTATGCACAAGCGAAAAGTTCCCATTCAGCTGATTAGAGTTTAATCTGTGTACCCTTCTTTATAGGAACAAATGTCCTCTCCTTCTTTCCAGACAATCATATAGCACTTCCAAAGACGTACTTAACCACCTGATTAATTACTTAGCCTCTATGTAAATTACTGTCAAGATTAAGATGATCATTTTATCATTTGTTCAGCTTGATAAACATTTACAGTTTAACATATCTGACAAAGCCATTTGTATAGCCCTATAATATAAATGAAGGTACAGTAAAGCTACAGTAAGCCTATAATAAAAATAGCCTTCAAATACTTTGCTAACTATAGACAGTTCCCTAAGCAATTATAAGATGTTCTATGTTAATTTAGAGTGAAATTCCAAACAAGGCATTTAAAACCTAATAAGATGCCATTAAATGAAGGGAGACAAAGGAGGAGGAAAGAGAAAGAAAACCCTAAGGCTTGAACTAGGAGAAATGATTCTCAGAGCTACTGACCCTTGCAAGATCCACATTTTCCTTGGACTTTTAGACACAAAACAGATTTCTAATTGAAGGTGATTATCTAGTTACTACATCCCAAATTGCATGTATTTCTTGTATTGAGTTCCATCAATATCTAATTATATGAAGCATTTATCAATTTGAAAGTCCATAGAAACTGCTGGGTTTCTGCATACAATGAGAATGTGTTTTATAAACTATGAGACGCTATATAACCGCCAAGTCTGATTGTCTTCAGTGACAACAGTCTGCTTTCTGGTTCTCTAAGAGCTGAATTATGTCAATCAACTGGGAGTAATCACAGAAGAAACCACCTGGTTTGCTCTTGTGTTTTCTCAGGTGTGGCCACCCATATTCATGCTATTCCCTAGAAATTACATATTGATATAGTCAGCTGATCACCACAAGAAAAAAAGAAATGAAAGTATAGCAACTTACAATTCTAAAAACTGAAAGATAAATTTCTATACTGCAATTTTTATCACCATAAATGTGTCTTGAGAGCTCGGTGCCTCAATCAAAGATGGATAGCTTGATCAAGGCATTATAACAGTGAAGAAATATGCAGTTCTGCACAGCACAAGTGTGCCTCTGTAAAATATAATTCCCATTAGTAAGGTTAATTAAGATTAACATATGAATTATTGATAACCTCCAAAGTAGACAAAAATAATTTACCAAGGAAACACACAAAGACTAGAGTAACATTCACTGAAAAGATTGAAGGAGAGTCTTACTAATTCTTGAGTTGTCACCATTGATGACCAAAATGATATGCATTCAACCAGCCTGCAAAGCCCAAAAGACAACTTATTTTCTTAGAAGAGTTCTACAAACAATTCAGGGTGGTGCACAGAAAAAAAAACCCAGAAGTGAATCCAATCACATATATAATTGTTACTATCAAACAGGTTATATGTGCACATGCACACACACACACACAACACACACACACGCATATGTGAGTGTGTTTAAGTATTGTTTTACTGATATGAATCAAACGGCACTCATCTTGAGAGCCTAGGTTTGGCATTTTTCATTGACTTAGCATAGTGTTTTTACCCAAAACAATAACCTGCATTTCTAACCAAATATATCACAAAGAAGCATTCACAACAAAGACTAACACTGAATTATGTGGTAGAAAGCACTGTACTTCAGTTGCTCAGGCTGCAACAGGGTAAAATCTGTCATTGTTGAAAAAGCACTCCCACCCTTACCTCAAGGGTCATGTTCACGGTACTGAGGGCCACTTTTATTTCTCCATCTGACAGTTCCTTTAGATCCTTCAGTATTGTCTGTTCAATACTTAAACCTGTGGATGAGAGGGAAAAACAGCATGTTATACTTGGGGAACTTTTCTTTTTAATAATATCAAGGAATGATCATTTAAAGAATTTACTCTGTTAATTTCAGTATTTTCCCCACTAATATTGCTTTTATCCATAATAAACACACAAATAATAAGGCAAAAACCACATTAGTGACAATATTTGCATTAGTTAGGATCCCAGCAGGTCAAATTTACCCTTCAGAATCCAAAAGAAAGTGCTTTAAAGGCAGGACACTTACAGAGGTGTGGGCAGGACTGAGCGAGAGAAAATAAAAGATGGTGAGCATCTCTCCAGAAGCTAGCAAAGGGACAAGGGAAGGAAACAGATCTGGGCCTGCACGAGGGCGGCGGCAGAGACTTACTGCCAAATCAGGAAGGGGGCAGGGAAGGATTACTATAGTCTCGCTCTTCTCCCCTCAAACTCCATGCCCCATATGTTGTTAACTCTTCCCATTAACCAAACCAATCAGAAGACAATAATCTTCAGGGTGCCCAGAAGATTAAATATTCAGGGGTCAGCCTCGGGAGGCCCAGAGCAGACAAGGGCAGAGAATGGGATGAGAGGAGGGGGACAAATGAAAACAATCATACCCACACAACCTAGCCCAAGACACCTAACGAGGACAAAATTTGTTTTCACACTGCATTTTGGTGAGCCCCCATGGTTTCTAGTATAATTTTATTAAAAATGCACTTTATAAATGTGATCCATAGAACTGTCATAATTAAGTTGTTCATCCTTATAATAGGCTCTGGTACAGGAACTACTGAATTACTTAAATGATGGGTGGAATAATTAAGATAGTGAAATTATCTAGGACCGCATAGTTTTAGTCAACTGACCAAAGTGCTTCAATAAAGTCCAAGGCCAAAAAAACATGAAAGAGCTTGACACTTAATAACCTCACTCTAGGTTATTATGTCTGATTAAACCTATCCTCTTGAGAAGAAGACCCATAATGAAGCCCAGTAAAGCACATACATCCTTCCCAGACACGTGTTAAGACAATAGAGTTGACCATTCGCCCTCCTCCCCGCTTAGAACACAGTCAGTCACAGCAGTCTGGGGCAAACAGAAAGGTTCTAAGTATTCTTCTTTGACTTGAAGATTGAAAGGCTGTAATCCATCATGCTGCAGTATAAAATGATTTATAGTATATTGCGACATTAAAAGTTTGGCCTAGTTTTAAAGACAAATAACAAAATGCATACCATCCTGCAGTTATGCATCCCCATAGACCCACATAGGTGCATCTGTAACAGGCGCGGCAGACGCCCGGGGTCCCACCCACACTTGCCATTGCAGTGAGCCCCAGCATGATGCTTAACCACCAGCGTCTGCATCTCCTTTCCCGAGGGCTTTCTCTGGCCACCAGAGGCTGCTCTGGGGGAATTAGCCCCTGGGGCTGAGTTACTAGCCATCATCATTCCAGTGGTATACTGGTAAACGTTAACCAGCGACAAAGCCTGATTTGTAGCATTTGTCAATTTCTCTGGTGTCAGTACATCTACAGTGAATAATCCCACGCTGCCAATCTAAGATCAACCAACTCACAGAATTCCTGAAACTTTAACAATCAGCTCCTGGAGCACAGATGAACAAGTTCCCACATCCCAGTGCGTTCCTCGAGTTGGATAACACTGGGGTGCAACTTTCCCAGAGTTCCCTTGTTGGATGAAAACCTGATTGCCGGTGGAGCCAGCTGGATTGATAAAGTACTCCATCCCCTCTCAGTGTTTTCTAGGCTCACTTCTCAAATAAACTGTTTTGCCTCAGGCTCTGTCCCTGGGGGATTACAATCTAAGGGAAGAAGCTATACACCTTAAAAATAGGTCGTCTGGGTTTAAATCCTGGCCTGGTCACCTGCCAGCTGTGTGTGTGTGTGATGATGGAAAAGCAAAGACATCTCTCTGTGCTTCAGTGTTCTCACCTGGAAATTGGGGATAATAATAGCACCTGACAGGGCTGTTGTGTGCACTCAGTGAGATAATCCATACAAAGTTATACCATGGGAACCTTGTGTATGTTAGGCATTCAATGGATTGTAGCTATTTATTAATATTATTATAAAACAGTTGATCCAGGAAATTCGCTATGTTGATAAAGCCTAGACTTGGAGAACAATTGAATCTACTTGACTGTCTTTTATTTTTTTCCAAAATTTTAATTGATTTACAAAATCCCATTGTGCTTGACATTGCTCCTGCCACATTCTCAAAATAGAACCCTCTCAGTACAGAGATTTCATGTCATGATGCATCTGGGTGTGTATTAGACGTGTGAATGAACCACACATCCAGGCACGAAGGCCTCAGAGGACAGGCTTCTGTGCAGGCGGCCTGCTTCTGGGTGAGCCAGTATTATGTGCCTGGAAATCTTCCACGAGTGTGAGCAATAGGAAACAAAGTGAAGGCAAAATGAAATTCCCCTTCCGGAGCCTGGCAACATTCTGCACCACAAAGCAGCCTAACTCAGGAGCTGCAACAGAGGCGGGGGACTGTCACTCACCCTGAGCACTGAATTGGCTCTTCTTGAGTACGTTGATAATGTCCTCTCTTGGAGGTAGACTAGGAAATTTTTCTTCCAGGATAGAAAGAATTTCTTCCTGCTTCTCTGAGATCTTCTCAGATTCCATGGTCATGTACTTGAAAAGGATGCTACCTAAAAGGCATGAATAAAAACAGCTTTGAACTTTCCAGCCACGCCACGAAGCGGGCCGGGGAAAGCAATGCTTTCTGGCCCTTCAGTCTGCGCTTCCACTTCCAGTTTCTGGCTTGGATCAGGGGTCTCCACAGTGTAGCATTCAAGAGGTAATTTTTAGAAAACCCTTTAAATACTATCTGCCCGGTCTCGTTACTCCCCACAAGTCACTGAGCTCTGCAACTTCACTGACCATAGCACACTCTATGGTACAGAGTTTATGGATAAAGGAACACAAGATACAGCTTCCCTCCACCCCACACAAACACAGAAATGATAAACGTCAGTTTTAAATTATTTCGGAATGGAAGTTAATGGTAAACTATTTAAAAATATTGAGTGTTATTTAATATTTCCCTTCAGCATTCCCCTTAAGAGACCAGAGACTGTTCCCATTCATCACATTAACTGATGTCACCTTTGAACTTCCTCCTTTGAGCAACTAAATGACTATGGAACCCCACTGGCGGCAGCCAAGGAATCTGATGAGATGGTGAGCTTGGAGACCACCCCCGACCTTCCAGGCACCACACACAGTTTTAGAGTTATTACTTATTATCTAATTGTAAGGATTTGCAAGCTGGTTCTATCTAAGTCATGGGTTTCATTTACAAAGTAATTTGCCAATATGAATGATCAACTCCTGACCAACTCCCGGAATTTCTATGCATAACCTCACCTTGAAAGAGGAGTGACCACCTGTCACATTGCTACAGTAAGGTGACCCACAAATTTTCGAAATAAAGAGGATAAGAAATACCACTGGGGAAACACACAGTACTCAGAATCTAGGCCAGAATTTAGGAGTCAGAGCAGGTTTCCCAGAGAGAGTTACCCTAAGTTGAGACTTGAATGGTAATTAGAGACTTAAGGCGAAGGTAAGGTAAGGGGGAGATCATGCTCAAGGCACTAAGGTGGGAGAGGGTTTGGCCAGTCCAAGGAATGGAAAGCAATTAATTAGAGCTAAATAGTATGATTTAGAGGGAAAATGTTGAAAAGTAGGTTGGAGAGATTGACAGGGGCCAGGTCCTAAAGGGCCTTAAAAGCCATCTTAAAGTTTGCCTTTTATATTCAAAGGGAAATGTGGAGTCATTAAAGAGTTTTAAGCAGGGAGAGGTAACATGCTCAAATTTATGTTTTATAAGAATCACTGGCTACCACGTAGAGAATGATGTAGATAAAGCATAGCAGGAGAATTGGAAGGCTGTTTTATATGAGAACTACAGAAAAACAGCGTGCAGAAAATTGAAGAGATTCAGGACAAATTATCTTTCAGTGGGGAGTAGCCAACTGGAGTCTAAATATACCCTTCACTTTAACAAATTCTGACATAAAATCCAGAATATTTTTTCTCTTATTCTGTGTTATTTCTTAAGTTAGAGTTACACCAAGTCCAGCCAGGAGTATAGTGGATGCATAGCTGCGCCCATGGTTACCAGGCAAGCCCTAGCTGGTGTGGCTCAGCTGGGCATTGTCCCACCAACAGCAAGGTTGCTGGTACAATTCTGGCCAGGGCACATGTTGGGGCGCATTTGGAGGACAACCAATCTATGTTTTTCTCTAACATCGATGTTTCTCTCCTTTTCTCCCTCCCTTCCCCTCTCTCAATAAACAAATGAACAAACAAATAATAACCAGGCATTAAAACAGAAAGTATTACTAAATAATTGGAAACTCCAGAGGAAAAAACTCACAAGGAAAAAAGTAGAAACAGAACTAAAAGAAATTTTTTTAAAAAGCTGGAGAATTACAATAATTAGAATCTATAAATAAAACATTCCAAAAAAATTTTTAAACTTTTGTCTAAAAAATTTGTAAGTTTAAATTCACAAACTCAAAAAATGTGTTTAAGAACAGATTAGACACACTGAAGAAATGATTAGTGAACTGAAAAAATATGTCAGAAGAAACTAGCCATACTGAAGCTTGGGGAGAAAAAGGGATAAAATACATGAAGAGCATAAACGATACAGGGGACATAAAGAAAAGGCCTAATGTGTCTGTGATAGGAGCTCCCATTGGAGAGGAGAGAATGGGGCTGAAATAACATTTTAAAAGGCCACGGCCAATCATTTTTCAGAATTAATGAAAATATTACTCTAATATTTAAGATAAACTATGAACCCAAATCAGGATAAACGCAAAGAAAAAAACACCTCTAGGCACATGACAAAAAAAAACTATTAAAATTACAGACAAAAATAATTAAAATCAATCAGAGGGGGAAAAAAGACATATTATTGTCAAGGAAATGACAATAAAACTGAGAGCCGATCTCATCTAAAATTATAAAAGTCAGGAGACAGTGGAACTGTATGCTGATATATGCTGATATAAAATAATTGCTGATCTAGAATTCTATTCTAGGTAAAAATATTAAAAAATGAAAACAAAATAAAGACTTTTTCAGAAATATAAACTGAAAGTATTTGTCACGGGAAAATCCACACTAAAAGAAATAGATGGCAGCAAAGATATGCAGAAAGGAAAGACAAATACTGGAGAGTGTAAATATGTGGGAAAAATAAATGGTGTAGAAAACAATGACAATATCTGTGGAGTTTACAATCTATGTGTAATTAAAATGCATTTCAATGGTAACAAATTGGAGAGACGACTAAGTTGGGATAAATTGTTCTAAGGTTCTTTGATTGTAAGGGAAGTGGTTAAAATATCAATTTAAATGATATTTTAATTGAATGTTTTAATTTTTATTATAACTACTAAAAGAATTTTTTTAAAGAATCATAACTAACAAGATAATGGGGGAAATGTAATAGCAAAAATACCTATTTTATATAAAGAAATAAAAGGAAGAGGGGATAATGTGAGACAAGTAGAAAGCAAGTAGCAAAATGATCAGTTTAAACCCAAATATAAAGCAATGACATTAAATGTAAAGAGACAGTATTCAATGGGCATAGAGTTTCAGTGTTGCAAAGTTAAAAAGTTCTGGAGATCAGTTGCATGCCAATGTGGGTATACTTAACACTACTGAACTATATAAAAATGGTTGAGATAAAAAAATGGTTAAGATGATAATTTTAATTTTATGTGTTTTTGCCAAAATAAAAAAGACAAAGTATTTTAATTTTAAGACAAAAAATATCAAACTGAATTTTATAAACTATAATATACTGTTTATAAAGCATACACCTTAAATATAATATTTAAAGATTGAAAGTAAAAAGATATAAAAGACGTAAAATTGATATAAAACACTAATATCAGACAACGTAAACTATAAGATAAGAAGAATTACTTGAGATTAAGATAAATATTTCTTTATTATTAAGGGGTCAACCCTCAGGGAGCTATATTAATTCAAAATTTATGTTTACTAACAACATAGCTTCTAAATATATAAAGCAAAAATGGACAAAACTAGATGAAGAAAGACAAATACACAGTCAGAGTGGGAAATTTTCTTTCTCTCTCTCACCAACTCTAAGAACCAGTAGAAAAAAGACTTGTAAAGATGTTGCACATTTGAGCAACTTGAGCTACAACCTTGCCTTAATTCCTATATATTGAATAATGTTTTCAACAATGGCAGACTAGACTTTCTTTTCTAGTGCAAATTGAACATTTTCTTAAACTGATCATTTGTTGAGGCATAAGTCAAATCTTAAAAAACATTTCAGAGCATTGCAATCAGAGTTATATTCTGTGACCACCATAAAAAATCTGAAAATCATAATAAAATGAAAGCTAGAAAATTTCCAAAAGTTTAAAAATTAAACAATGCACATCCAAATAATTCACGGTAAAAAGAAGAAGAAATTACAATATACTAGAATATGTTTTAATTGAAGGAGAAAGAAGTATGACACTTGGACTTGTGGAATGCAACTACAGTTGTGCTCTGAGGGAATTTTGTATGCTTAGAAGCATAAGATGGTAAAAGAAAACCCAAAAAATGTAACTAAAAAATGTAGAATAAAGGGTATAATAAAGATAAGAGCAAAACTTAAAGGCATAGAAAACAAATACATATGAAGAAAGTTATTAAAACCAAAAGTTAACTCCTTGAAAAGACTATTAAAAAGAGTTTTGAAAACTGTCAAGAAAAAAAAAAGAAGACTGCGAGAAGGCAGAATTTACCAATATTAGGAATAAAAGCAGTACTACAGGTTCTACTGCCATTAAAGTAAAAATAAAACTTTATTTTAATAGATTTTAAAATTTAGAGGAAGTGAACACTTCTGGAAAAACTTAACCTGCCAAAACTGGAAAGAAGTTAAAAATCTAGATGGTTCTATTTTTTAAGTATATTTTACTGATTATGCTATTACAGTTGTCCCATTCTTTTTTCTTCCCTTTATCCTCCTCCGCCCTCCACCCCCTCACAACAGCATCCCCCCGCCTCTTAGTTCGTGTCCATGGGTCATACATGTAAGTTCTTTGGCTTCTCCATTTCCCATACTATTCTTAACCTCCCTGTCCATTTTGTAAGCTCTCGATTATGCTTCTTACTCCCTGTACCATTTTCCCTATTCCCCTTCCTCTCCCTCCCTGCTGATAGCCTTAGATGTGATCTCCATTTCTGTGATTCTGTTCCTGTTCTAGTTGATAGAATGCTTCACAGATAAGGTAAAGTCATCATCACCAAGCCCTTATTATGTGAAATGTTAAAGGACTTATCTAAGGAAAAGAAGAAGATCAAAACTATTAACAGTAAAATGACAACAAACTCACAGCTATCAACAACTGAGCCTAAAAAACAAAAACAAAGTAAGAAAACAACTAGAACAGAAATAGATGGTTCTGTTTTTATTTATAAATGAATCCACAGTTTAATATTTACAGTCCCAAATAAGAAAGAAAAGAAAACTAACTTTACACAATTTCTTCAAAGAATAAAAAAACACTTTCCAACTTATTTCCTGAATCCAGCATAATCTTGACACCAATACCCAACAGGGACATTACAATAAAGATGAATTAGAGGCAAACCTCTT